AAAATTACAGTGGCCAATGGTTCTTTAGCCACTGTTGCAGGAATCGGAGACATTCATGTCACACCGATTATTGTCCTTAAAAATGTCCTCCATGTACCAAAACTGTCGGCCAGCCTTGTTTCCATCCAAAAACTTACCCATGATCTTAAATGTTGTGCTACTTTTTTCCCTTCTTATTGTGTGTTTCAGGAACAGGGCTCGGGGAGGAGGATTGGACTTGCTAAGGAAATGAGCGGCCTTTACTACCTTCAATCATCTCAGCAAGTTAGGAGCAATTTACCTTTGTCTTTTCTTAGTTCATCAAATAAAGATACCATTTAGTTGCATCATCTGCGTCTAGGGCATCCTTCTTTTGGGGTTTTGAAGGTCATGTTTCCTCATTTGTTCCAAGGATTAGATATTTCTGAGCTTCATTGTGATATTTGTGAATTGGCCAAACATATTCGTGTATCTTTTCCTATTAGCAATAAAAGAAGCACTCTTCCTTTTCATTTAATCTATAGTGACATATGGGGACCTTCTACTATACCTAATGTTTCTGGGGCTCATTGGTTTGTATTCTTAATTGATGATTGCACTCGGGTTACATGGCTCTTTCTCCTTAAACAAAAATCTGAGGTTGGCACTGTTATACCTAATTTCCACTCAATGATTCAAAACCAATTTGGGGTTAAAATAAACAGCTTTAGGACAGACAATGCTAGGGACTACTTCAACCAGATTTTATCACCCTACTTTCGATCTCAGGGCATTATCCATGATTCATCATGTGTTAACACACCTCAACAAAATGGGGTGGCTGAAAGAAAAAATGGGCATTTACTAAACACTACCCGGGGTTTGCTGAGAGTGTAACGTAGATTCATCTTCATTACTGCCGATTCATCTTCTTAGTTTTCTTTTTCGTTCCTTCATCATGTCCACCACCGAAATCAAGTCCACCAGCACCTCTTCATCCGAGGATGTTTCTGCCGCCCAGAAAACTGGAGATCTGCAGAATATTAGGATGTCATACCGGTTTAATGGAAAGAATTTTCTCAAATCGTCACAAGTTCGTACTTATCTCAAGGGTAAGGGAAAACTCAACCACTTGCTTGGAGCCGTGTAACATCAGGCGTAAATAACACAATTATTTCCATCATTATTTGTGTCATGGTATCAGAGCCCTAGGGCTGTTTTTTCTGGGAATTTCCATTTTTTAGGCCTTCATTGCCATTCCTTCCGGTGTGCCTTTAGTGCTGCGGGTTATTCTTCCTCTTCTAGGGTTTGCCGTCTTTCTTTGCTAGGGTTTGCTGAGAGTGCAACCTAGATTCATCTTCATCACTGCCGATCCATCTTCTTAGTTTTCTTTTTCGTTCCTTCATCATGTCCACCACCGAAATCAAGTCCACCAGCACCTCTTCATCCGAGGATGTTTCTGCCGCTCAGAAAACTGGAGATCTGCAGAATATTAGGATGTCATACCGGTTTAATGGAAAGAATTTTTTCAAATGGTCACAAGTTGTTCGTACTTATCTCAAGGGCAAGGGAAAACTCAGCCACTTGCTTGGAACCGGACCAGCAAAGACAGATCCAGGATTTGCTGCATGGGATGAAGAAGATTCAATGATTATGTCTTGGCTATGGGACTCTATGGAACCAACCATTAGTGATACTTGCATGTTTTTTAGCAGTGCAAAAGAGATATGGGACTTTATCCATCGCACATACTCAAAGGCTCGTGATGCGGCGCAGATTTATGAGATCAAGATCATGACTGGGGCTATGAAGCAAGGGGACAAAACTGTTACAGAGTATGCTAACACTCTGCAAACCCTATGGCAGGAACTTAATTATTACCGTGTGTTTGAGATGAAATGCTCGGATGATGCTGCAATTCTCAAGAAATTTATAGAAGCGATAGGGTGTATGATTTTTTGGCTGGATTGAACCCTGAATTTGACCTGGTTAGAGTGCAGATTATTGGTAAGGAAGAAACACCCTCACTGGAAGAAGCAATCTCCCTAATTCGGGCAGAGGAAAGTAGGCGAAGCTTGATGCTTGAAAAACAGCCCACCTCGGATGGATCTGCCTTCATGACAAAGACTGAGACTCAGGAGAAGGGAAAGAATGAAGTATCAAGGAATTCTGGAAAGGATAATCAGTGGAAGGACAACAAAGACAATCTCTGGTGCACTCACTGTAAGAAACCGAGGCATACAAGGTAGAATTGTTGGAAATTAAATGGGAAACCACCAAGCCGAGAGTGGGGAAACCACCAAGCCGAGAGTGGGGAAACCGTGGGGGGCAGCAGAGCCGAGAATGGGGAAACAGGTGGGGGCAACAGAAACCGCAAGCACACTTGGCAGAGCAGCCCAAAGCTGAAGAAAATTTGGCAACAGGAGGATTCAACAATGAAGAAATTGAGAAGTTGAAAAATCTCTTAGGATCTCTTGAAAAGCCTTCGGGAACCTTGCTCTTTGGCTCTTTCAGGTAAACCATCATTTACTTTTTGTATAAA